TGGCCAATCCATGTTTCTCTTTCATCATTGATATTTCTATAACTCTCTTTTCCTTCCTCTCTGAAATCAATAAAAATATATTTATAAACTCCACACATATTAAGGGACATATATTTGGAACATTATTGGGAGGGGAGTGAGGGATGAGTTTGGGTCACTGGATAAATGATAGGGATTATGGGAGAAAGCATACTGGACAGCTCACAGATAGATACTTTTCATTCAATACCTTAGAAACAAAATTCATTAATCTCTTATAAATCCACTGGCCCTTACATATATCTGTGAGACCTTCTTTATGGTTTTTCTCCTCTAACTCTCTAGCTACTCTGGCACAATCTACTCCTCAGAGTCCTCTTTCCTCTTTTGTCTCCTAAATATTTGTGTTTCCAAAGTTTCTTTTCTCTTCTCACTTTTAACTCTCTTGAGAGAGCTCATCTACTCCCAAGACATTAATTAGAATTCACCTGTTTACTGATAACTTCCCGATTCCTATTTCTGACTCTGATCACCTGCCTAAGCTCCAAACCATAATATCTGTTGTGTACCCTGGGACATCCCATGGGGATTTTCATTCAATGTGTTGAAAACCACTCACTTTCCTATAATCTGCCTAGCCCTTACATGCACCAATGAAGAAACAAGCAACAAAAACACCAAAACAAAAAATCTTTCCTTATACATTTTCTCACCTTATCATCCTCTTGATTCTGTGACTACATAAATTATGCTTCCTCTCCAATCTTAATCCAAATCTTCCATACATCTATATAGTCTGTATTTTTTAGTAAAGCCTACTTTTTAGCACTTATATGACATTTGTCTTATTATCCCATTCTAAAATACAACCTTACCTTTCCTATGTAATTTCTAACTCTGGTTAAAAGCATTTCAACTGAAATGAATGTCTTAGCTTCCTTCTTCATCCTTAAATTTCTGTCTTTTTTCATCCATTCTCTTTTTTATCCAAAACTAACTCTTTGGGGGCAATGGTAAGATATGTACACATAAATACCTTAATAAAAAAAAACCAACTAACTCTCCATTTGCATTCTTATTGTTATTCCCCTTCTCTCATCTGCAGAGACCTAATTTCTGAGAAGAGGAGCCTTATCTGCTTCATCTGTTTCTAGAACAGTGAGTGCCTAGCACATGGTAGATATTAAAAAACATGTACTGAATGCTTTATTAAAGAATTGCTTCTCTTTTTCTGTTGCTCTTTTAGTTTCTCTCCTCTCCCTCTACATAAAACTCTTCTGTTAAGTCTACAAATATGTTTAAATCTATTTACAAGAGAGAAAAAAAAAAATAAAGAACCCATACAAATGTTCTCTTGATTCTATCTTTCCAAGCTATTGACTATGTTTTTCTTTCTACCACCAAGCTGCTTCTTCTTTTTCCTCTTTTTTTAAATGTATTTTTATTGATTTCAGAGATAGGGAGAGACAAGAAACATCAATGATGAGAGGGAATGATTATCAGCTGCCTCCTATATGCCCCTCGCTGGGGATCAAATCCATAACTCAGGCATATGCACGGACAGGAATCAAATCATAGGTCAACACACAACCACTGAGTCACACCGCCAAGTATACCACTAAGCTCTTTTAAGTCACATCTGCACCACTAACTTTACTACTTCAAAATGTGTTTTTTCTCCCAAAGTGCCTCCTCAAAATCATCACTGATTTCTTATACCTTTTTCTCACCCCTCATGCTCTTTTTATTTCCCCAATATAGTTTTTTATTGACTTTTTTTTTTTTTTTTTTTTTTTAGAGATTGAGAGTAGATGGAGGGGGGAGGGAGCAAGAGAGGGAAGAGAATGGGAGAAAGGGAAGGAGGGAGGGAAGAAACATCCTGCCAGAGATAAAACCCATATGTGCCTTGACCAAGGAATCGAATCAGCAACCTTTTGGTGCATGGGACGATACTCAATCAACTGAGCCACCGCGACTAAGGCACTTCTATGTAGTTTTACACTTCTATATAGTTTTACCAACTACTTCTTAGAACTCTTTTCCAGGATGTCTTTCATGATTTCTTTAAAGGTAGATTATATGTGCCTTTATTTCCTGTAGATGGCCACAGTACTTATAATGCTCTTAATAAATGTGTGCTTTGCCAGTATCCAGGACTAGATTAAAAATGTCTTAAAGACCAGTGTCATGACTTCCCACTGTCTGGCACTATGAGTGCTCAATAAATATTTGTTCAGTAATCAAATGAATATTGTCATCAGATTGATACTTAAGATTTTTAAAAACACTGGGGAATGGGAGTGTTGAATAAGTATGGCAGGTACCATTCTAAGAGAAAAAAAAACAAGTAAAAGTAGTATAAGGGGCTATGGACAATCAGAAAGCAATATAAATATATGAATAAAAAAGATATAAATGAATTACTTCATGTATTCACTCATTCATTCACAAAGCAATTAGGGGAGATACATAAAGACACTCAAGATACTGTACCTATCTTCATGGATGTGTTTTACAATCAAGGATTGAGGGTCTGGGAGTGGTAAGAGCTGACAGTAGGAGTAAGTAGGACAGTAGGAGTAAGTTACTTTGCCATTTAAGAGCAATTCTGAATCTAATATTAAAACATGGGGACAAGTTTAAAAGACCACAAATCAGCTTTCTCTGGTCCACTCACTTTTGCAGTCTAGGTCAACAAGCAACCTTTTGGTGCATTGGCTATGTCTCTGAGAGCAACAGCTCTCAAACTTTAGTGTGCATAAGGAACACCGGGGATCTTGTTAAAGGTGGAGAAAAATTTCCAAAAATCCTGATTCTGTGAGTCCAGGATTATGCATTTTTAATAAGCATCCCACAGGATTATGATGCATTTGGTCTGCAGAGAATACTACTGTAAAGTCCTTAGTCACACCATAATTTTGCCATATCTGAATTACACCTATAATATCTTAGCCTTATCCTAAGCAAGAAGTTTGTTGACTTTTTATAATACACATGAAATAAATAAAAACTATAACTATTAAAAAGTCTATCTGTATATACAAGTGATGGGAAAGTTTGAGGAGCACTGCTCAAGAGTTTATGCTCTGTAAACACCACATCCTGCATGCAATCTAACGACACAAATTACAACCAAAAGTTCCAGGATAGTGAAGTTCAACAGAATTGAATAACAGCAGAAGAGCTCATGTAGATATTCTGATACCTTTAATGGATTATAAAATAATCCAAAATTGTTTTAAAAAATTTATGTTCTAATTACTACAAAATGACTTGCTAGTTTAAAAAACCCGCTTTACATTGACTTTTTTATTTTATTTTAAAGGATTCTTTGCCTTGTATTCTGGTACACCTGAGCCAACTCCCAACAGTTCAGCATCAAACTTAAAAGTAGCAAGCAGTTGGAACAAAATGAAGATTGGTCTGTGCTCTTGACCCATAATATGTCCATAAAAATGGACATAAAATATATGTCCATTTTATTTAATATATATATTTTATTGATTTTATACAGAGAGAAAGGGAGAGAGATAGTTAGAAACATCAATGAGAGTCATCAATAAGCTGCCTCTTGCGCACCCCCTACTGGGGATATGCCCGCAACCAAGGTACATGCCCTTGTCCGGAATCGAACTTGGGACCTTTCAGTCCCCAAGCCGACGCTCTATCCATTGAGCCAAACTGGTCCTGGCTGTCCATTTTATTTAAAATTACACTTGATAACTGGGTTCAAAGATATAAACTCGATAGCTCTCTTCCTTTTCCTTCAACCCTAAAATAATTTATAATAATAGAAAAAACGATAAGGCAAAAAAAAAAAAAAATCAGAGGAATCAATGCATCTCAGAAAGGCCTATTCCTTACAGGCTTTGGCAATTCACAACCACAAACAGAAAAGAAAGTTGAAATAGAAAACTGTCACCAAATGAAAGATTGTGCTGATAATAAGCCTTTAAACACAATATTCTGCTCTAAATTATGTGCTTGCTTAAATGGCTAAGAAAATCAATCTCTAAATATCTGAGTGGACGGTTTTTGAATACCACATTGTAACTGTGTCAAAAGCCAGTTCCATACATCTAATCTCTAGTCCCATGGAACAAAAACACAGATGAATGACAATGGTCCTTGATCTCTACATCACTTAAGCCAATGGGAAATTTACCTGACCACTTACTGATGTATAAAGCACTCCATCTTGTTTGGATGAAAGCATTATTACAATCATCTCCTAACTAGCCTCCCTGCTTCCTCCACCTGTTCTCTACAGTCTCTTCTCCCCATGGCAGCCAGAGAAACCCTGTCAACATGTCAGAACAGTCCCTCTTCTGCTCAAAACGTCCAGTTCCGGTCAGAATAAAAGCCGAAGTCTTTTTAAGGGCCCCCAAGCCCCCCAATACACAATCCATCCCCTTATGCCCAAACTCAGCTCCTACTTCTCTCCCTTTGCTCTCTCAGCGCCAACTAAAATAGCATCTTTGCTGTTTCTTGAGCACACCGGGCAGAATCCAGACCTAGGGCCTTTGCATTTGCTGGTCCTTCTGCCCAGACACAGGCTGTTCTTCCCTCACATCTTTATCAGGCTCTGCTCTATCGCTTCCTCTGGGTCTCTATGCAAACATCAAGTTCCAGCAGCGGCCTTTACACATACATGTCACGGCCACCTCCTCACCCCCATATGTCTTTCCTAACCACGTCCCCTGCTTTGCTTCTCTCCACAGCACTTGTCACTGACCTTCTCCCTCTCATTTATTCACCAGCCATTTGCCCCCCCACCAGAGGGGCCACTTCTGCTGGGTGACGACTGCCTTTTGCTTTGTTCAGGGTCCACCTCTCAGGGGCCAAGAACCGTGCCTGGCAGCACACAGTAGATGCTCAATAAACATTTGCTTAATGAACTAACGGTATTGCATCCATGTTGGGGGTTTCCAACCCTTAACTCCATTGAGGGCTGGAAATAAACATGCTGGTGGGTATCCTCCACGTTTCCAGACTGCACTTGAGGGGGTCTGTCAACTTACATGCATCGTCTTTTGTCTGGTACATGGCTCCCTCTGATGTTTCTTAGAGAGTGGTAAGGCGGCAGGCAGCCAAAATGCCTAACGTGTACAAGGAAGAAGCAAACCGATCATGTATGGAACCGATGTGGGGTGGTCCGATTCTTATCCATAAGCCGACGGAGAAAAATGCCTTTTGGATGGACAGTTTCTCCTGTTATTGGGGGGGGAGGGTGGGAACACCGCTGTGTGTGTGTGTTGTCTTCCGGGGGGGGGGGGGGCAGGGAGGGGGCCAGTGCACCTCCTTCCAGAACCTCAGTTCGCTCCCGTGCAGAGTCCAACTTACTTTTTTGGGGGAGGGCATCGCTTACTTTTTTGGGGGGAGCGCCTCGTCCGTGGTCTCTGCAGGGCGGGGGGCAAGAGGGGTGTCCCTGTCTCAGCCTCTGAGGCACCTATTGTGCTGTGTCTTGCGAATGAGAGAAGGTGGCAGAGGGAAGAGGAGCGGGGGGACGAAGGGATGCGGGGTGCGCCCGCCGCCGCCGCCGCCGCCTCCCCGGCACCCAGTCGGGGCGCCCAGGGCTCCGCGCGGGTGTCGCGGGCGCCGGGGGCCGCCGCCTCCACGGCCGCCTCGGCCCGGGGCGCGGGCGGGCGGGACGCGGGCTGCGCGGAGTTAGGCCCGGACCCCGCTGCCGGCCTCCCCGCGGCCCGGCGCGCGGCCCCCGCGCCCCCCGCGCCCCGGACCCCCTCCGCCGGGCGCCCGTCTCGGTTACCTCGAACTCTCTTCAGCGAAATGGGATCCTTCTCCTGTTCCGCGGACATTACAGCCCGCGGAGCATGACTCCCCCCCAGGCCGCGGGAATTCGGTCTCTTTGATGCGGCGGCGGCGGCCGCGGCGGCGAGGGCTCCTCCTCCGCCGCCGCCTCCTCCTCCTCCTCGCGGGGCCGCGGCGGCGGCGGCGGGGAGACGAGCCTCCGAGCCCAGGCGCGGCCGGGGCCGGGGCCGGGGCCGAGGGCGGCGGGGCCGCGGGCCGACTTTGCAAAGTTTGGGCGGAGGACGAGGCCTCGGGGCGGCCGGGCGGCGCGCGGGGGCCGGCGGGGCTGCGCGGCGCCTGCGGGGAGCGGGCCTGGGGGGCGGCCCCCCGCGCGGGGCCGGCACGTGCGGGCGGGAGCGCCGCCGCCTCCTCCCGCCCCTCGGCCGCCGCAGCCGCCGCAGCCGCTGACAGGGAGGCGGGCGGCGGGCCCTGGCGGCGCTCGGCGCCCTCAGAGGAGGAGTCCGCGCCCGCGCCGCTCCCGAGTCGCAGACACAAAAGCCCCCGGCGCGGAGCCGCCTGCACCGCCCGCTCCGGGGCGGGCGACGGACGTGGCGCGGCCGCGGCTTCCCCGCCCCGCGCTCCCGGCCCCGCGCGGGGACGGACTTCGGGGGGCGGGGGCCGCCGCCGGGTCCCCCCGCGCCGCCCGCCGCCGCGCGCCCCGCCTCGGCCCAGCCCCCTCGGCCCGCGCGCCTCGCGCTCCTCCGCGCCGGCTTCGCGGGCCGCGGCCCTGGTGGCCGAGGGGCCGCCCCGCGCCCCGCGCCGCGCGCTCCCCGCCGCCCGCTCGGCGGCCCGCGCGCCCCGGCCCGGCCCCTGCGCGGCGGGGCATCTCCCTCCGAAGCCGGTCGGGGGCCGCCGCGGACACCGCGGCCTCGCAGCCGGCGACCCTAGAGGGACGAGCGCCTGGAAGAAACTTTGGAGGGAGCGTTCTTGAGCCCACGTTCCCGACTCCGTGTCCGCGGGCCGGACACCTGTTTGTGGAATTGCCTCAACTTTTACCTTCTAACCACTCGACTCCTTAAGCAGGAGCGGTGCGGAGTGACTGAGAGAAAGAAGCGGTGGAAGCGGTGGGAAGGCTGAGCCTCACTTAGACGTGAGGAAGCTGTGGCCGCGGGTCCACCCCGCCAGCCGGGCTGTGTGGCCTGAGGCGGGGAGACAACCTCTCTGGGCCTCCGGCTTCTGCTCTCCGCCTCTGAGGGCTCTTCCAGCTCTGGCGTTCCCCTGCTTACTTTTACCAAACGGTTCCCTCCGTTTGTTAGATTTTTCAGCTCTTCTGCGAAAGAATCTGTCAGTGCAGGCTCGAACCTTCAGCCAGGCGAGGCTCCTGGTTCATGTTGATGTTAGAATCATTAAAAAAGCACTCCTTACTCTTAAGAGGACTTGGAGCTAACCACCACCAAGCGTCGCATCCTTCGGGAGACGAGTTCAGTAACTCAGTCACTGCACCTAGTTCATCAGAGAGAACAGATGTAAACGTGAAGCAGCAGCAGGATCGGCTTTTCATGACGGCATATGGTGTGGCCAGGGAACAAATGGTACCCTTCCTGTAATCAGTTTTGAGGGAAATTCCTGATGAGAAGATGGAGGCTGGGGAAAATTTTCCTTCAGGAGGCACATCTAGAAGGCACCAACTAGAATGTAAACTCCATGCAGGCATTTTATCCAGTTCACTGCTGGGTCTTGGTAACTAACCATTACTGGCAAGTGTTGAGAGGAATCTTGCTGAATGGATGCATGAATAAACAGAATGGAAGTGGGTTTTGTGAAGTGTGGTAAAGCCCAAGCAAATGCTCTCAGTGTGATCAAGCAAATTGAATCTCATGCTCTCTCTCACTGGACTGTTGAGAGACGATGTGAAAAGCACTTTCAAAACATCAAACAATATGGAAACAGAGTTTGTATCCATAATCCTTAGTGAGAGGGGTTGAGAAAAATAATTGCTAAGAGATTTTGAATTATTTCTTGTCATTCCCTTAAAGCTAGAAACTCAGAATTATGTAAATCAAGAGAAATGAATTGGCCTCTTTTTAAAAATATATATTTTATTGATTTTTTTACAGAGAGGAAGAGAGAGGGATAGAGAGCTAGAAACATCAATGAGAGAGAAACATCTACCAGCTGCCTCCTGCACACCCCCCACTGGGGATGTGCCCCCAACCAAGGTACATGCCCTTGACCGGAATCGAACCTGGGACCCTTCAGTCCGTAGGCCTACGCTCTATCCACTGAGCCAAACCGGCCTTGGCGAATTGGCCTTTTTTTTTTTTTTTTTTTTTAATGATTTGTGGAGAATAAAAAGACTATCTTACTTGCTTAATGGATTTTTCAATCAATTTGACTTCCAAATTTTGACAACTTACTTGCTACATATCCAAACTACCTGGAGTACATTCTAAAATTTCAGATTTCCAAGCCCTTCCCCAGATTCACTAAATCAGAATTTCTGGGAATGAGGTCTGAAATCTGTCTTTAAATGCTCTCTAGCTAATTCTACAGCAATGAGCATTGTGCACTAGACTCCTTATGTCCCCAGCATGACAGAATTCCTAACAAAATATATCTTCACCTTGCTGTTGCAGTCTTTATCTATGGGACTTGGTTGTGAATCCCAGAGTTAATCTACATCTTTATTCCTTTTTTCATACGCAGGTAAATCTGTTATTGGTAGGCCAACCCCACTATTTAAAAATATAAGCTCAGTCATACCTAAAACTCAATAGTAGGCACAGCTTAGGCAAGAACAGGTCCAGTAAACTTATTCTGTGGAGGGCCAGATAATAATATTGCAGGTTTCACAGGCCATATGTTCTTTGTCACAATGACTCAATTCTGCCATTGTATTAGGAGTGTGCTCAATTTGGCCCACAGGGTGTAATCTGCTGACCCCTAGACTAGAAAGTGAATCACATAAAGGAAGTTGGAGCTCAGGGAACAGGACTAGGCTATACTTACAAATGGAGACATTACCTAAGGATGTGTAAACTCACCCAGGATCGATGAGAAATGAGAGCCACGAACAGAATCCAGGGAAACACTGACATTTTGAAGTGTGGACAGAAATAGAAGAGCCTGTAAAGGAAATTGAGAAGACATGGGGAAAAAAATAGGAGTGTTAGGACAATCAAGAAAAGGGAGAAATGATCACCATTGTCATATTTCTATCTTTAGACATCCTTGGCCTGGAATTTACTTAATGTCCTGATATATTATGAAGCATTTTATGGTCTTTGCTTTTAATATTTTACATCTCAAATTTTACCTATTTAGCCCTAACTGGTTTGGCTCAGTGGCTAGAGCATTGGCCTGCGGACTGAAGGATCCCAGGATTGATTCTGGTCAAAGGCATGTACCTTGGTTGCAGGCTCATCTTCAGTAGGGGGTGTTCCTCTCTCATCAATGTTTCTAACTCTCTATCCCTCTTCCTTCCTCTCCGTAAAAATCAATAAAATATATTAATTTTTTTAATCTGTTTATATTATGAGATAGCATAGTGGAGCATTTAAGCATAAAGACTAATAGTTATATTTAAAATAAGTTATATTTTCAAACATTGAAAAAAATCATAAATTTGTTTTAAATTGAATAGAAATAAAAATGAAATCAGACTCTAGGTGTTTGGAAGTTTGCCACCATGGTTGGAATACTTTCATGATATAATAGTTGAAACTGTGGTCAGCTTAGCAACCTCTATAGGTTGGTCAGCCACATCCAGCATCCCTTTGTTGACAAATGTAGATGGATGATCAAAAGCTCAAAGCTGAGGGAATCACAACAGCAAACTTTGGGAGATGTTTGTACAAGTCAGGATTTAATCTAGACACAAAGCCCCATAATCTAAACAGGGTAAATTTAGTACAAAGAACTATTAACCACAGTAGGAAATTGGACTATGGAGGGATTGGATAGTAAGAAGTAAAGAGAACGCTAAAGAACATGACAAGGGCAGGTATGAGGAGGATCCATAAAACTAAGAGCACACAAAGAATAGGCCCTTCTCCAGGCTGCAGCCAGACTGATGGTTGCACAGCTGTGCGTTCTGAGGGAAGAGCCGGAGGAAGCTGCTGTCCCTACCTGCTGCCTGCATCGCAGGGTCCTGGCACTGGATAAGTGGCCAGCATTGCAGGAACTGGACCCTGAAGAAGCCATGCATGCTGCAAGGGCCTACCAATAGGAGCATCTGGAACAGGGAGAAAGCTCTTCCCCCTGCAATCTCTCCAGCACCCGCTCCTAACAAAGTTCAA